GAAGCAACTTTTTCCTTTACAAAAATGTTCTCCGAGACACCGTTAACGAGTTATTAACGAAAAACAGTGACCAACGAGAGGCGAGCTCGGCTGGCACGAGGCGATCGAGCCAATGAGCGGAACTGGGCTTCGCGCGCTGTTTGGCTGGGCCGCCTCGCGTCAGCCGTACTCGATTCTTATTGGTCACTGTTTTTCGTTGATAACTCGTTAACGGTGCCTCGGAGAACATTTTTGTAAAGGAAGAAGTTGCTTCAAATGATCCGAAGAACCCGCCATAATTAATTGAAGGAGACCGCACAAACTGTTAAAAATAATGTTATATATTTTATTGCATTATTTTACATATGCAAATAACTTTATTTTTTTTATATATGCACCTTCATTTCTCAATTTCTTGTTTTCAATGCAGTTTATTCTGTTACAAAAATATGCAAGTACGAAGTAAGATCACATTTATCACGTTCGCATGACGAGAACATTAGATTTTCGAGGTGTATCATCTTCTGGACGCGGAGTATATGCTCTTGGAATTTATTTTGTACCGCGTCAATGCGTCGTGTATCGTCGAAAAGACTTTTGGATCTGTTCGGATGTACTGGAGGATCAATTAGAAATGCACATCGCATACAGTGCTCCGTTGAACGGGAACTAAATTATGTACGAAATTCCTGACGATATAGTCAAGGGCATACTGCTTGGCTTATAATACGGTCCACCATCTTCTTCTCGTAAAGATGACGCTGCCTTAGGGACTCCAAATATGAATCTTCAATGATATCGCGCGAGTTTAACGGCAAGCCGAAGCACGCCGCTCGCCCGAATTTTTTAGACTTCCTCGACGAGGATATTTCGCCGACGTCAACGTCCCTCTTGGAATACTTGCTACAATTTGTGCCGTCATTTTGCGAGATAGCATGTCGGTCCTCGAATATCGTCGAAGATATTGAATCGCCTTGCGTCTGCAACGATACCGCGTCATGTTCAGTGATATACGTGGGGAACAATCTCCGAAAAGTAGAATTACACACACGCAAGCAGCGTGATTCGTGAAATGAAAGCTGTGATGCAGAAGACGGCCGAGGAATTGTCAAAGAATTTCAGAGGACAAATATTATTCGGTTTTGAGAATGTTCATAGTAGCCGGCACTTCGATTTTTGCATGGGAAAATAATTACCTTCCGTTCGAAGAAGTGTATTCTTTTTTGTGCCGTTTATGGACGGTATTTTATGGTCTTGATCGAGAGCCTAAAGTGTAATCGACCAGAGAGCCACTAGATTAAGAAATAAATCAGTCGTATAATGTACAATGTATCGTGTAAGAAGAATTAGTATAGGATGACGTGCCAGTTGAAAACAAGGTATACATTATTGTACCGCACAAAAGTGGCAATTTATCACAGCAAGAAATTGCAAGGAATACCGGAAGCGGTACATAGATCCGCCAAATCTAAAACGTATCGAAGAAGTTGAAAATTTTGGATGGCCTTGATTCGATGGCGCGGGGCTCTAGGTCATTAAACGGCACAAACTTGGACGACCCGATGCAAGAAAAAGCTCCTTCCCGCTGTAGGAAGTCTCAGTTTTCTTTGACAACTCGTACGAGTCTACAACGAGGCGATCGTTTACAACCCGGCAGTGCCCTGATACGGTTCAAAGCCCAGAGAATGCCGGAATAAGTCAGTCAGAAAGTGTATCAGAGAACACCGGAAAAATCCACTTTTCGGACAATCGCGGAGGAGGATATCAGGGAATGGATGATTCGTCGAGCGTTTGAAAGAGGGTAAGAACTCTTGATTTACCTTCACGTCGGCTTCTTTATCCTTCAAAGGAGGCAGAAAGCATTTCCGAGGGGCGGCGCGCATCGGCTGTGGACACAAAGAAGTCGATGGCTGTGATGCCTCGCTAAATAATTCTCGAGTAAAACGGGAACGGAGGGGCCGGTTGGGAGGGACATATAAATATGCACGATGCCAGGGGGAGGGGAGGGCCCTTAACATTAAAAGCTAGATAAAATCGCGGCGACGCGGGCCGGAGGTAAAAGCTTGACAAATATTACCTCAGCCAGAGACCCCAATTGTTTCCTTAAAAATCACACGGGACGCGGTGCTCGAGCACTCGAGATTATTTCGGAATAGTTTGCCCGCAAATTTCCCGTCACGGGGAATCCCGTGAAAGCAACCCATTCCCGAATTCCTTTGAAAATTGTTTTGCGGCGACCGGCGCGGCGCATCGACGCAACCGGCCGAACAAAGAAAGTTCCCTGTTCAGGGAGGCATGGGAAGTGGGCAAGGGAGTCTTGTACGCTATTTTGGAATTGTTTCAACTGCCATCTAGGCTAATATAATTTTTTCAAGTGAAGATTCAATTGAAATGATGAAACTTCAATTCAAAGTTACAAATACGTCAAGGTATACTAACAACGATATATGTATGATATAATATTAGCCGTATAATTAATTAACCGTGTATAATAGTTAACCGTATAACAAGTAATTGACAAAATAAAGTATGATTTATGAAAGGAAGACATTGTCTCGAACAGTATTCAAACTATTATATCGCGTTTCCGAGGTTAAAAAATTGCTTGTTACAATGCAATAACGTATATGTATTGTACATATTGTATATTCAAAGCGAGCCATATTACTTGCACACGCCAAATAATATTTTAATCATCCATCTAATTAAATCGTGTTTAACACATTTTTAATTAAATGAATAATTTGAAAGTTATACGACTCACTCTGTATAGGTATATGGATTCGAATTTAATTCGAAAAAATGATATCAGCCTAGGCGTCGGTCGAAACGCTGTTCCAAAATCGAGTATAAGAGTGGTAGCCCCCTGGTGGTGGGGGATTACGAGGAGGGCGGGGGTGGGGGCAAATATGCATAAAGGGCGTAACTCGTTGAAATTCAGGCCGCGATTATCGACACCGAGGGAACCGACAGATGAGGATACAAACGGAGGCTACTCTCCCTCGCAAGCACGAAAGTAAGCAAAATCTAATTCCGGTGGCGGTAGGCAAGTCACGAGACCCTGTCCCCTTTACCGAGAGATGTACCGTAGGTTTATCCACGTGTAGAGAATTTCTGTGCCCGTCCCTTCGGTCCCACCTCCGCCCACTCGCCGACCCCACCCCCTTGTATCCTCAATTTCTGTCTGTCCTTGCGGTAGCTGCGGCCTGCAGTCCTCGCTTTGTGCATATAATTGAATTTAGGTTCGGATACCAGTCTCTACTTCGCCCACCGGCATCTACGCCCGGCATCCTTCGTCCTTTTCCTGCGCACCCACCCGCGCCCCACCCCCGTCTTATGATTAGATCCGGCCCACGCCTAACGGCTGAGGACCAATTTTCCGTATCGGGCTACTCTACGGACAACTGGCTGATAAAGGCCAGCGTAATTAATAAACCGTGAAGCGCGTTTGCAGCTGCGCCTGGCGGCCGCCTTTCGCGACGACGAGAAATTATTATTCAGGAAATTTGATTTCGTTTGCGGCCACCGCGAGCTTCTATGCCGCGCTTGTTCCTAATGGCATGCGCTGTGGATCAACGTCGATTCATGGAACCTGCAGGCTTGATTTTGGATAGAAATTGCATTTAGCTCGGCGGTAGTTTGCAAATTTGTTTATTAAGCAAAGTGCAATGCGGGCCACTGGATTTCCTCGCGGAAACATTGTCGCCTGATCCTGTTGTGTTTCTCGGTTTCTTTTGCTACACTATAATAGTTACTTGAAAACTGAAAATCGAGTATGCCATGCATCGGGGCTCGGAATTAACCAGCTTTAAGTTTTTTGGCTAAAACTTCGTACGAGTCTCACTCCCCGATGATCGCCTAACACGTATACATATATATACCTTTTTCCTATTTCGAAAACTTGAATTAGGGAATTAGGGAAGGCGTTTTGAATCGATTAAAAAGTTATAAAGACATCAACGTTCGAAAACTGTTTCATATTGCCTCGGATGGAGTCTATTTCGAGGGCGATAAAATTAATTTCGCCGAATAACTAAGCAGTTTATTTTAGTGTCAGAAATTCCGCGCGCATCTTGTTTACATAATGTCAACGAGTGACATATTTCTCCGCGTTCCTGGCGTATCGGAAACTATGCGGTGGGTAATTTTAAAGAGTCGTCGACGAGGTCCTGCGACGTTGATGAGATTACGAGGTAACGAAGGGGTAACGAAGGAGGGTGCATAAAATACGTCGTCGGGAGGAAAATGAAACGCGTGGCGAATGGAAAAAGGAGGATTATTCGCGGCATTGTTAACAGGAAAGTGGTGCTTACGTAATTAATTTCGTTTATAAATCTTCCGATGGGCCATTACCGGGGGTTGACTTTCGCGCGCGGAACGGGTAAAACGAACCAGTTTTCGTCGTCGCGGTGCCTCTTTGCATTCCCTAATTGGCAATTAAGTATCGACCGTAACGCGACCGAATGCCGGACGACGATAATTCGTCCGGCCCGCGCGGCCGCCGCATCTCGACTATCGTTTCCTTCCTTTTTCATCGACCTTTTTTTTCCTCCATTTTTTTCCAGCCGACGCGGTATTATGTTATACTTCCCGGGGCCCGACACTTGATTCCGATTCACGAGCGCCGCCAGCACGAGCGATTATCCTATCCGCGTTTTAACGAATTCACGCTGCGTGCCGGGATTGGAGAGAACTTTTACCGTTCCCGTGCCGGGGATTCCGTGTCGGATTTTACAAAGTTGTTACAAATTGAAATTGCTTTCCGCTGTCTGTATCGATATTTTCGGCCCGTGATGTTTTTGCGCGCGGACCGCGCGAAATCGGTTAAAAGTTTTTCCATGAAATATCCAAGAAACGCTAAGCAACGGTTTCGAACTGACGATGTTCGTTAAACGTTCATACATCGTTCGCGGTTCTGTCGGGTTGGCAGGAAAGCAATTTCGGTTTGCACCAATAGATCGCGTTACGTTTGCATTGTCATTCTTTCGTTAAGATTATAATTTCTTTTTGTCTTCAGTTTTGATAGTTGACACGTTTAGGTTACTATAGAAACAAATTCCGTGTAGTTTCGTTTACAACTGATAGTTTGCTGTCGATTTTAACATAGAGTCCAAAAATGAACATTTTCGACACATTTTACTCTTATACACTTAATTATTCCGAGTAATGGAAATCCAACATGGCAATTAGGTAATTTGATTGAATAGATAAACGATGTGATTTTTCGTTCGAATGGCAATTCCATGGCGTCACTAAAGATTACCATACCATAATACGGATTACAAATCTTTAGATTATTAAATTTGTTTGCGATTGATAAATCGCTAAAAATGTAAGTGCGGTATGATTAATTGCTTCGTAAGCATAGAATGGAAATATTCTTGGTCGTATGAATTGTTCCTGTTCTGGAGATAAAGTACCATCAAGTGCAAAGGGTTAATTTATCTTGATCATCGGGGCTATCACAAAACAGGGCCAAAGTCATAAATACCAACTCCAACGTGGTTGAAAACAATGGGAGTGCCAACTGTGTAAATGAGGACTTGGAATGGATAATATATTAAGGTATGGAAAACGGTTCTACGTGATTAGATCGCAGATATTTATGTCGATGAAACGAATGTATCTACATCATTTTTTATAAAATAGTCTGCGAAAATAGGAATTTGCACAAAGTCTACTAATTATTTATGTTTGATATCCATAAAGACGATAAATAGTGCAAACTCCAAAATGAACAAGCACGAATCTTGTTGTTTCCATTGAAATTTTTCCTTTTTCACTTCTTCGCCTCATCCTATTTCTTTATCTTTCCACGCACCTGAATAGCTGGATTTCTGGATTTAGAAATTTGAGAGAAAATCAGGTTTACGATGCAGACGAAGAACATTCGCATTATTTTCGAAAATATTGTTTCCATGTAGCATTTCAGTTCTCGACAATTTGATTCGCAACTTGACGCTTCCGAGAGAGCTGACACTCAAACTCAATAGCGATTGACGCGCCATCATAAACCTCAAGATGCGACGCAGCAGTTAACTGGCCCTCTTGACGTACAACCCCTTAGCCTGGAACCAAGGGAGCCACCCATTATCAAGTTTCATCCTAACACGGAGAACCGTCGATGGCAACTGCAAGACTGTCAAGTAGCTGTTTACAACTGGAGATTCGTTTTCGAATTAACTAACCGATTGAAACTCTCTTGAAATGTTCCTGACAAGAATCCAAGCTAATGGTAGTTCGAACAATTTTTCTGGAAAAATCCAATGAGAAAATTGTATTTATTGCTAAAGTTGAAGCTATTATTCGCGACATATAGCCAAAGGGTTAAAGAAATATATTCCGATTACTCGTAACAATTTGGTCACTCATATACTAGTTATCAATGGCGAAAACTTTATTTTGATACTATAAAGAGTGTCCTAAAATTATTGTACAAGCTAGAAATGATTCTCAGATCATTTGAAGCAACTTTTTCCTTTAGAAAAATGTTCTCCGAGGCACCGTTAACGAGTTATTAACGAAAAACAGTGACCAATGAGAGGCGAGCTCGGCTGGCGCGAGGCGATCGAGCCAATGAGCGGAACTGGGCTTCGCGCGCTGGTTGGCTGGGCCGCCTCGCGTCGGCCGTACTCGATTCTTATTGGTCACTGTTTTTCGTTAATAACTCGTTAACGGTGCCTCGGAGAACATTTTTGTAAAGGAA